GGACCCCCAGAACATTATTCACTATGTCTCCTTAGGCCAGGTGTAGGGAGCCTTATTTCTGCCAAAATTTCTAGCATCATTTGCAGGCCATACAAAATTATCAGCTTAAAAATTAGCCTGCTATATTTGATCAAGCATTTAATTAACTCATTCCTAATGTTATGGCTTGGGTCAAGTGCACGTTAGTCCTCAAACTGACATCTTTGCTCTTCAACACTTCAAAGAGGTCTTGTACAGCAGATTTGCATAATACAACATGTCATTTAATTTCTTAACTGATGCTTCCATGAATCTTGATGGTTGATCCAAGAAAAAAGAATTGACAACTTCAATCTTTTCTCCATTTATGTGGATGTTGTTTATTGGTCCAGTGGTGAGGATTTTTGTTTTCTTTACATTGAGATGTAATCCATACAAAAGGCTGTGCTCTTTGATTTTTTGTCAGTAAGTATTTTAAGTCCTCTTCACTCTCAGCAAGCCGTATCGCAAGTTGTTAATGAGTCTTCCTCCAATCCTGATGCCATGTTTTTCTTCATATAATCCAGCTTCTCAGATTATGTGCTCAGCCTACATATTGAATAAGTATGGTGTAAGAATACAACGCTGGCACACACCTTTCTTAATTTTAAACCATTCAATGTTCCCTTGTTCTATTTGAATAACTGCCTCTTGGTCTATGTCAGGTTTCTCATGAGCACAATTAAGTGTTCAGAAATTCTCATTCTTCACAGTGTTGTCCATAGCTTGTCATGCTCTGCACAATCACAAGTCAATAAAGCACAGATAAACATCTGCATTGGTGTCCCTCGTTCCACATCTGAATCCAGTTCTCTGTCAGTGTGCATTTGCAGCCACTTTTGGATTATCTTCAGCAAAATTTTGCTTGTGTGAGCTATTAGTGATATTGTCTGATGACTTCCACATTCTATTGACCCAAGCCATGGTATTTCCAACAACCTCATATTTATGTGAAAGTTGGACAGTGAATAAGAAAAGACCGTAGAAGAATTTATGAATTTGAGTTATGGTGTTGGAGGAGAATATTGAAAGTACCATGTACTGCTAAAAGAACATACAGATCTGTATTGGAAGAAGTGCAGCCAGAGTGCTCCTTGAAGGCCAAGATGGCCAAACTTCATCTCTCATACTTTGGGCATATTGTCAGAAGGGACTAGTCCCTTGAGAGGGAGATCATGTTTGGTAAAGTGGAGGGTTGGAGAACAAGAGGAAAACTAGGTGGACTGGCATAGTGCCAGCAGCGACAGGCTTAAATGTAGCAACGATTGTGAGGTTGGCACAGGACCAAGCAGTGTTTCATTCTGTTGTACATGGGTCACTATAAGTTGGTTCTGACTCAATGACACCTAACAACAACAACAGTATGGTCAGACCAACAATTTCAAGGGCCTTGTAGGCCCTCAAGGAGCTCTGGTAGTGTAGTGGTTCCAAATCAGTCTGCGAACCGCAAAATCAACAGTTCAAACCTACCAGCTGCTCTGCAGGAGAAAGATGAGGCTTTCTGCTCCCGTAAAGACTTACAGCTTCAGAAACCCTGTTCAGGGTCGCTATGAGTCAGAACCGACTCGACAGCACTTAACAACAACAACATAGGCCTTCAGTCCAGATGGTCCCCACCGCTGCCTTAGGCTCTTGACTGTAAGTATGTCAGATGTTCCTTGTTTTTGATGACGTTGCCAGTTTTGAAGCATACTGGTGAGGTATTTTGTAGCATGTCCCTCTATTGGAATGTCTGCTGCTTTTCTCATTATTAGATTTGGGCTTGGTGAAGGAAGACAGTAAAGGTAAAGTGCTGTTTTTATCACGTCAGCGGTGTGTTTTCTCACGGTGGTTTATTGTTGACCTTGATCACTTGGCTGAGGTAGCCTGTGAGGCCCCTCCTTCTTGCCCCCCACTGTGCTGTGTGTCTGAAGGAGACAGCTGCGCTCCGCCCACACTTGAGGCACCTAGTGATTTCTCTGTACTTATTCTACCTGGAGGTTTGTCTCCTCTCCCCTACTTACTTGTTGATTCCGCCATTTATACTACGCATGAGTAGTTATTGAAATGTTTGGTTATAATTTAGCACTACTGTTTTCTGTTGCTCAGATTGTTCCAGCTGAGCACTGGTGATTTTTTCCAGCAGTCACTTGTATCTCTTTGTAACCCTCCACGCCTGCCATCATTGTGGTTTGAGGGTTTTCCTTGTTGTTTTGAGCATATGCTATTATCTGACATGTTCATCTTGTTCATTTCTTGGCCCAAAACAAGCTAAAATCAGTGACTCTCTTGGAGGCCTTCCGGCTTCTTTTATTGGGCAGTGATGCCATAAAGCCCCCAGTGGGTACTAATGTGTCCACTGCTGGGGTATTGTTGATTCTAGATCCTCTTATGTGACAGAGTCCAGGAGCACATTGTATAACCTGTGCATATACATATATTTGTAACTATTTTTGCATGTTGCCAGCAGAGTTCAGACTGACCAACTCCGATAGTCTTCAACTCTAATCCACTACCAACTGGATGCGTGTAGCCCTCCCCCGCCACCCCCCAAACAGTGAGAAACTTGACTCCGTTCTTCAATCGCTCATTGCTGTTGAGTCGATTCTAGTTCATAGTGACCCTGTATAAGATTTCCGAGGCTGGTGTTGCACTGTAGGATAAGCACTGGGCAACAAAGTCAGTTTGAACCGCAAGGTGGTGCTTCAAACTCACAAGCCACTCTTCAGAAACCCTGTACAGGGTCACTATGAGTCAGAACCAAATCAATGGCACTTGACAACAACAACAACAACAAAGCTTTACAGGAACAGATGGCCTCATCTTTCTCCCTCAGAGCGACTGGTGGGATTGAACTGCCGGCCACCAGGTCTCCTTATCAATGACAGCATGCTTAAGTGGCAGAGCCATTACCCACGTCCCAGCCACAAACAACTATTGTCAGCTGCAATGCACTTTGCCTTTAAGGCCACAGCCTCGGCTGGTTTCCAGATCCATTCAGCACAGATTCCAAACCCACCCCCGCCCCTTCACTGCGGTATTAATCCGTCTATCTCCTGCCACCGAATCCTCCAGCATTTCTTCTCAGAGCCCCCCAACCTCACAATGTTTGGCTTCTCAGTTTGCACACACTGAGGTTCCCTGTAAAGTCCTGTGGGTTTCTATAGAGCACAGTCCAGAGAACATAAAATCTCACTGGTGTTTCTGGCCTGTGGGCATGTGCCAGAAAAGGTGGATAATGCAAAGGGAATGAGGGTGGGGCTGAAAGGAAAGAAATCTACAGAGTGTAGCGCCCCCCCCCCCAAGCACAGGACCCATAAGCCTGCTCTCTGATGAGGACCCTAATGCAGAACGAAGGGGGCTTTCATTGTGGCCTGTTGGGGTTTCCAGTCACCTCCACCCCCAGAACTTAAGTTTTCCCCGGAGGTGCAAATTGCCTACATTTCCGTGAGCACAGTGGGGCTGGTGCAGCCCCCACCTGTGAGCAGGTGAGGCCTGGAGGACAGCGTTGCTCCCACAGGGCAGGCGGGGTCGTGTCTTCAGATACATTTGTAGAATGGGTGCACTTGTTGACTAAACCATATGCTGCTCAAACTCCCTTTACTAAGGCCTTGCCGGCTAGATGCCAAATTGAAAATGGTCTCCAGAAAAGTTGGGTGCATTAATACCCGAGGACTGGCCTTCAGAGAGACGGGCACTCCGTTTTGGGTGGGTCTGTGGACACCACACACCGGTCCATTGTTCATTCCCACTGTGTCAGCAAAGTCCCTAGCTCTTCCCAAAAAGCTCCACAGCATCTCTCCCAGAGTCCACAACCAAAACACAAAACCAGCATGCCTGTGGCCTCCGAGGAAGGTGTCCTGCCGGCCGGCCCTGCCAGCTGTTTTGCTTTCTTCTCTTGCGCTGGGCAGTTCCACTGCCACCACCATCCTAACTATCAGCAGTGTGAACTCAAACCCGTACTGAAGACGGCTCAGTAAACAGAGCCTGTTTGCCTACAGAAACCCCCCAGCTATCAGCCGGGACACAACCAAGCACATGTGCTAATGAACCCAGAGCTGTTAATGTGGTTTCTTCAGTTAAATTGATTCATGAATTTTGAAGAGAACATTATCTAATGAATTTTCTTTGAATAGAAAGCAATTAAAAGGACAGATCAGCTTGATTAACCCCAAACTCACCCTCCTGCCACAAATGGTGCACAGTTTGAAATTATATCATACAAAACGAGGGCACGTGTGCCCGTATCCCTGCCCTCTGCTAATCCATGTAAATGAATGAACAACAAAGTTAATTTCTTTGATGACCCTTCCTGGTATCACCTGGATTATGCAGATGTTTAATTTGCTTAATTTATAATAAAGACAAAACAGATTTTTTTTTTTTTTTTCTCCCAGCGAAGTGATTATCATCCCGGCCTGAGAAGTGATTCTGAGTGTTGAGCTGGGAAGGGTGTGTTTTCCTGCAAGTTCCAAATAGCTCTCGGCCAACTTGGCTCCGTGTAATGAGCACTCTTGTTGGGCACACGCACCTGGAAAAGCCCGGGGCTGCCTAAGGAGTCCCCGCCTCTGTGGTTGGGCGGGGTTATCTCCACAGTGCAAGCCCATCTCCCATGTCCCTGCTCTTGAGTCCAGCGTCCACCTCTGCTCCGGCCCTAAATGTGGATGCTGCCTGAGCATCGTCCCTGTACCAGCGTGCGCAGTGACCGGCACTGGATGTCTTTCTCAGTTCAGATGGCAATGAGGTCATCTCTTGTGTGCAGACCCCGAGGGCCATGTGTCCCCGAGAGACTGGGAGTGGAAAGCAAGGCAAGGTGGGGTACAGGATGCTCTGTTCGCTGATGCTGCTGGTGTGTGCCTCCTGTGTGGACCGTGCACAAGAGAAGAAGGTGAAAGTGGGTCAGGAGGCTGCTGGCCCCACACCCCTTCCTCCTGGCAGCTGCAGCGGATTCTGTCTTCACTGAGGACTGGTCCCAGTCACTTCCTTCTGCTTTTTCCTCTCAGATTCCTTCACCCGACAGGTGTTGTGGAAGCTGCTGAAGGCTGTGAAGGTCGGAGAAGTGGTTTCTTATCAGCAGTTGGCAGCTCTGGCAGGCAATCCCCGAGCAGCGCGGGCAGTGGGTGGAGCCATGAGGAACAACCCTGTGAGTCCCGGGCAGTGGGTGGGGCCATGAGGAACA